GTCGGCCCCGAGGCATACATCTTGGTCTTACCCAACATTTGTCATCCTCCTAAAAACAATTCAACAATTCAAACCAATCTTTTCTAGCTCATGCGCGGTCAAAAACCTTATCACAAACGAACAATATTTATCTGTTCTACTGCGATAGAAACAAACTCTTAAGTCGCCCCGTGCAAAAATATATATTATCTTACCCAAAACCACGTAACTTTGTTTCCTTATCACACCTGAGGATCCGTAGGAGCAAGACTCGCAATCTTGTCAAGTACCCTAATAAAAAAAAACTTATTTTGCACAATTTTCTTTTTCCTTTTCAACATTTAATAATCATAAGAAAGCAATAAATGTAAGATAACATTCTATTCTAAAATCTAACTAAATAGTTCTCGTTGAGTACAACTAATGTGAGGGGTGATAATACTTCCCCCTTGCATAATTGACTCTCGAACCTGAATTTGGTTGTGACGACCATTTTCTTTTTATTTTAACGGTTTTATTAATACTTTTTCTTTCTTTTTGGAATGAATAAAGTTTGGTGGCTACTCTATTATCATCTCGAGCGTGTGAATGCACGTGATAATTTTTTACGCCACGACAACTTGGTTTTTCACATTTGTAGAAAGTGAAAGAACCATCATCATTTCTTTGAGGTGGTGGTTGGTTCCTATCAATTAGAGCAATTGGGGCCCCTGAAGGGTTTCCATTCTCTATTCGGTTCACATAGATGCGGTTCTGATTCTTTAATTATTTTCTAGATGGTTTTAAAACTTAACTGAATTCCTTTTTGTTAATTGCAATAACCAATGCTTTTATTATTTTTTATCTTATCTCTGTGATTCTTCTTCAATTCTAATACGTATAATTAGACTTTCAATTGAAAATTCTTTTGTTTTGTTTTGAAGATTTTTTATTTATTAAATCTATCAAATTAGGGGGAATTTATCAATAATAAAAGTAATTTGAAATTGTTCGTCTAAATACATACCTTATGTGATGATCTCATGAGCAATACTTTGACGTTCGTGACATTGGGCCTCCATAGACGTTTTATCTACCATTTGATACTTCATGTAGAGACTAACAATATAATTCTTTTCTGAAACCTCTTCGATATCATACTTCTTTTTCAGAGCTTTCCAACATTGATTTGCAGTATTGCAACTACCATAATAATCATACATGTCATCTTCGAGTTCACTCAGAATATGATTTTTGTTGAGATAATCATTTTCTTTCTATACAACATATTTAGATTCATCAGAATTAAATGTTTCACCAGAGTCCATATATTTTTTACTGTTAGTTTTCTCTTTTTATCCAGATGTAACAATAGGAATGTCATCATTCAAAATATTGACAATATTTTTTAAGGTTAAGAAAAATCACATTTTTTGTTGTCAGGATTTGAAGTGTCTTCCCTAAAACATGAACGATTTGTCAAAGACAGTAGCAAAAGCACCAATAATTTTTTCAGTAGCCATGGAAGTTTGGAAATGTCTTAAGATTATTGTTTTACGATTTTGATAAAATTCTCATTTAAGAAATTACCGGATCGAGTCGCAGAATAGGTTGACCTCTTTAAGAAGTTTCACAATATTACCCTAAATTATACAAGGTATATGATCAACCACGATGCCTCCAAGATAAAATAACTCAGTTCAACTATATAATTACTACTTGCGCAATAGATAATCAGTCAGTAAATACACCCTTTGATGGTACACATACCATCAAATATGGTATAAATACCACTCTAAATAATTTCTTAAATGAGGAGGAATTCAAATAATTCTCCAAAGGAAATTCAATAATAGTCATTTGACTACCCTAAATAGTTTTTCGAACTAGAAGAAATTTAAACAATTCTCCAAAGAAAATCCAATAAAACACTTAATAAATTAAACAAGTAAAAAGAAAAGGGAAGAAGTTTGTGCTTCAAAAATTAGAAAATGAAAAGTAAATAGTGTTAGGAAGGAAAAAAACTCAAAAGTAGCATTTAGTGTGTTTTAGAATGAAACATGTTAAAAATATCATATCGGATAATATATGGCTTAAACATGTGTTTATAAGTGGGAGAAATCTTCACTTTACAAGTCAGTTTCGTAGGGTTGAGTTAGGCACAAACCACATTTCTTAAGATGCCATCCGAGCTTGGTTTAAGACTCGGTGGACCACCTGCTGTCAAATTTCTGATATCGGGCCACCCAACATTTATTTTCACACTTCACATGTCTAGTCCTAGGCATGAGGGGTGTGTTAAGAGTACCATATAAAATAATATATGGCTTGAACATGTGTTTATAAGTGCAGCGATCCTCTCCTTACAAGCTTGTTTTCTAGGGTTGAGTTAAGCACAAACCACATTTCTTAAGAAAACATGTGTAGTCCTTATAATGAATTAAGCTAGCCATAATATGTAATCTAATCAATGTGAGACTTAGATTTTTCTCAATTAACACACAAACACACATAGTTTTTAAATGCATCTTGTACCAAGAATATGTTTTGATCAAGAAAAAAGTTCTCAAAGAAGAAAAAGAACCAATTTATATCATGCATGTCACAAATTAAGATAATCAAGAATTAAGCGACATTTGAATCAATGGAAGCATAACTAAGGTACATGTTGCAATTCATATTATAACACATTCAATTGCCTAAAACAAAATATGTTTCACTTCGTCTAAACTCTTATTTCATTTTCATTCATGTTCATACATTGTGCCATACTTTAAAAATGAATTTTTAAGCAAAATGACATAGTGGTATTCGAATATCATATTGTGGTATTCTAACACCAATTGAAAAAAATACTTAAAATTTCACTTTTGGAAGGAGTTGTATTCAAATAGCACTTATTGGTATTCGAATACCAGTTTTTGAAAATTGATTTTTTGAACATTTGTAAAGTGATATTCGATTACCAAACTGAAGCAGTGCAGTTTTTTCAAACTTAAAATGTTTCTAACACATTGCAATGATTCATGGCTTATTTCCAAAGTTGTACATTTTTACATAACAATGTTTCATGATGTATATAAGCATGTTTACAACATAAACAAAGATTACCTCTTTCCAAAAAAAATTAATCTTCATATCAATTGAAACAAATCATCAAAGTGTTTGTTCATTCTTTTAGTTAAAACTTTGTGCATAATTTTTCAAATCATCCAAAGTTTTGTACATTCATTATGAAAGAGAAAAGCAAACTATCTTATTGGAATCATTTCAAGAATCAATTTTATTTCAATTATTCAAAGTGAAGATTGTGTTAACTTAATCATCAAAGTGTGTGATGATAAGTTTGTATAACAGAAAGTGGCGTGCTTTCTAAAGGTGTGAAAAAGAAAGTGGTGTGCTTTTTTCGTTTTTGATGAGAAAGTTTTACTTGATTTTAGTGTAAGACTTATAACAAGAATCTCATCATAGTGGATAATCTTTCAAGGTGTGAAGAGACTAGATGTAATATTGTTATAAGAGAAACTAGAATAATTCTTTGTGTTCATTTATTTTCTGCACTATTCATTCTAATAACTAAAACTGATCTGACCTTATCAGAAGGGAGTCAATGACTTGCCACGCGTCGTTGATCTGCTAGCTGTTCACCAGAAGTATGGAAGAGGAGGGGTGTACCTGCAGGACACTCCGATGCCAAAGTAAGTAATGGACCAGAGTGGGAGCAAATACAGAAGAGAGGTTAAGAAGAGAATACTTGACCCTCTAGTGAAAGAGGGTATTTATAGAGAGACCCCAGCGCAGGGCCAACGGTCATTTGTGTTGGACTGGATTGTCAGGCCCAACCTAAGTGACTGTTAGGGCTTACGTGGTGTAGTGAAGACCAGCACATGGTCTTCGCCCTAGTTCAACTGTCCCGTGATCTCCAGAAGGTGGGCTGACTAGTTCATCCGAAGGTGGGTAGTTGTCTGATGACGTGTTCCCGCGGCGGGAGCACGTGGAGAACGTGTGGATGACGTGTTGTTCTGCCCGGCGAAGGGAATATCCTGCTCGACGAGGGAGCTGTCTGGTCGACGGGAGAGCATGTGCCCGACACTGGGCAATTTGAGCCTATTTGGGCCTTCCCCAAATAGCGTTGGGCTGGACCTGCCCGACGGATGGGCAGGCCTAGGCCCAGTCCAGAACAAAAACCAATAGTTACTTTACTTAAAATAAAAAATTTAGAATCTTTCAATAAAGTAAGAAAAACCAGCAAATCTAATTCATCTCCCTCTTAGACTGCACTCTATAATTATTTAATTTTCTAATAATGTGAGACTTAAGGAATTTTTTTCAAACTCATACTTATATTGAAATATTGACATGTTCAACAACTTGAATATTTGAGAATGACATAGTTTTTCCCTTATATAGTGGGAGAGGTAAGAACAATTTGTATGAATCACGACGTATTATGCAGACAATTATCTGATTGATTTAAATGATAAATGATGTTTCATGATACGAATTTATGTATTGTAGGCGAAAAAGATGGAACACATATTCACTCTGTCTCTAGTCTTTTTTATTGGGACCCTTAAGAGCGCTTAAACAAAACTTTATTAATATATTTTTTTTCATCCACAAATTTTTGGATTTTAAAATTTTAAATGTATTATGTATACTATATTTGTTTTGGTTAGGTGATCGCGTTTACCTTAAATTCTTTGTATTTATTAGTAAAAAATGTTGATTATGAAAATGGTGGGTAAGTTTATATATGAATCATTTAGTTGCTTGGTCTACACGGCAAATGCTATTCCTTGACCGCAAGAGCATAGCACCACCCAAGTCATTTTTCCAACTATTAATTATACTAACAACCCATTGATTTTGAAATTAATAAGGTACCATCAATTCATAGAGACCTTCTACAACAATGCAACTCAACTTCAATGTAATGTACAACACAATTTCAACCACTTATTCCTCGTCCCTCCAATGTTCTTCTAATTGAAGATTATTTATATATAGCTTCCAACTCTCCTCAAACCCTATCGAAGAAAATGGAAATTGAAGCAAGACAAGGGGTGGTAGCAAAAAAGCTATGGAAAATGGTACGTGTATCATTGTTCATGATAACAAAAGGCATAGCCAAGACCAAAACAATGATACATGGAAAACTTGCTGGAAAAGGCTTCATCAACACTCTCATGATGAATCACCAATTATATTATTCCTCTTTCACGTGTCGCGACAACGATAACTCCTTCATATCTCCCTGCGAATACGAATTCAGCTGCAGCAACACTCCTGTCAACCCTCTCTACCAGTCTAGCCGCCGCCTCTCCAAGCCGCGCCAGCGATACAAAGATGTTTTCATCATGAACACCATAGCTGTGAGAAATTCTTGTTTGGATACATTGCCTGTTGCGAGAGAACTAAGAGTTACTGATTCGCCTTTTGCGCTCAAAGATGAAGGAGATAGTTATCAGGTGGACATGGCAGCTGATGAAGGAGATAGTTATCAGGTGGACATGGCAGCTGAAGAATTCATTAACAACTTCTATAAACAACTCAATAGACAAAACAGATCAATAGCTACTCACTGATTGATCACTTATCTTTTAGTGATATCATGTGGCTATGTGATTTAAATAACTTTGAAGTTTGAAATTTGAAGTGGAGGTTACATTTGAAGTTTTGTAATAACTTCATGTATAAATTAAAAATGAGTATTGTACTTTTAACATATAAGTTAATATAATTTTATATTATGATCACATTTAACCGAAGAAAAAATGTCTCCGGTTTGAATTCCCCCTCAGACTACTTGTGGTTAGTGTTAGACAATTGGATGGTTAACATTGATATCGGACTCAAAATTTAAATTTGACGTAAATTATGATTTTATTTTAAGGTTTAATTTTGATCAATAAAATTTTGATTTTTGACAAATTTGATTGGACTGATTTGACAGATAAATCGAATAGATTTAGGTGGTTAAATATTTATTGGACTAAAACTATTAAAATGATCCAAATTTTATAAAATTTACAACCATTCATTTTTTTAATTAATTAAAAAACTATCAAAATTTTAAAATAAGCTAATGAATAATTATTTTTTTCATTATTGAAAAATATTATTATCATGTGAAAACGTTTCTAAAATTATTTGGTCATTATCATACTTTAAACGACAAATTAAATAATATTAAAATTTTATTTTTTATATGTTTTGTATCTTTGTGAATATACAATATCACCATTAAATTAAAAAAAAAATATAGTAACCAGACAACATTTTGAACCCATTTTTACAATGGCTAAACTCTATAGGAATAAAAATAAATAAAATAAGTATTAATTGAGTTTGGTCGGGTTTAGTTTCTGATAGTTTCAAAAAAATCATCTTAGCCTGATCGAATCAACCATATACTACTCAAATTAGTAACTGGATCAACTTGACACTAACCCGACCTAATCTATTTGCACAAAAAAGACAATAGGTCAGTCGTTTCAATCAGACGATTCAAATTTGTCCACCCCTACTTATAGCAGTGTTAAATTTTTTGAGGGAGAGTTTTGTCACCCGTTATAGAACTCATGCAACATGGGAAAAAAAATCAAAATACGTATTTTCAATTGGTAGTTTCTCACATACGAAAGGAATACAATGCCAAAGACCTACTATTACATAAGTATTTGCATTTATACAAGAAAAGTTAAACATAGTCGCAACCTTCAAAATTTAACATAGTTCTTGCAAACAAAATATATCAGAGTTGTCACCCCTTTTAAACAGGTAATACTCGTTGAAATATTGGCAACAAGTTTGTCATAAAAAGTATTATACTTCTTATAGGTAATAACGTGACAAAAGCAACTAGAAGTTATGCATGAAAGTTATATCGATAATATAAGATAAAATATATATAAAAAAGGTCATCGTGCACCTTTGAAATGTAGTAGGAACATTACATAGTTCAAATGAGATTCTTGTAAAAAAAAAATTATATAGACATGTGAATGTGGTCTTTTCTTGATCATCAGGTGCTATGAAAAGTTGATTATAACCTAAGTAACTAACAAGGAAACAGTAATATTTCACATTAGTCAATCTATCCAGCATTTGATCAATGAAGAGTAAGGGGAAATTGTCACTCCTTATGGCCTTGTTTAACTTTCAGCAATCCATACAAATTCTCCATCCAGTCACATATCTTGCAAGGATAATCTCATTTTTGTCATTCTTGACAACTATCATGCCTCATTTCTTCGAAACACGCTATACAAGGCTTACCTAAAAGTTGTTCGAGACGGGGTAAATCATCCAACATCCACCTACTTTATGATCTCCTTCTTCCCCACTTGCTTCATAATTAGGTTTAGTCTTATTTGGATTTCTATATTATTCTTTGTATTCTCGTCCAATATAATTATATACATGCAAATAGTGAGAGTGACTCCCTTAATATCAGCCATTTTCTAAGTAATGATCTTTTGTTCCCCTTCAAAACTGACAAGAGAAGACTCTCTTGTGTTGGTGGTAGGTTAGAAGCTACGATAACCGGTAACACATATCCTACCTCTAGGTAGGCATGTTGCTAACGCAGTGGAAATTTCTTACACATTGTCTTTGGTCATTTCAGTTATGATTTCCATGGTTTCAAGTTTGTCAAGCCAACTTGCATTAAGTGGTTTTGGTGGTGGCCCACTTTCCTTCCTCTTTCAATTCTTCATCTTCCAAAAACTCTAACTCTTTTCTTAACTCATCATTGTTTCGGAGGAGTTGCTTGTAGACTAAGAGGTTCCAACTAGCAATTAAAGAACAGTCAACAAAATAAATGTCAAAAATACGCAAAATACATAGGCACTTGTTAACTTATTTACAAGAAATAAATGAAAAAAAACTCAAATTTATCAAGAAAATATGATAAAACGTCGATATGAACTTTTTAACTATATTTATTAAGTACAGACAAAAAGGACCAAAAAAGTACACAAAAATAGACAAAAAGGCACCAAAGCTCGCTTAGCAAAGAAAAGGGAACCAAAGCTTGCTAAGCCAGAAAAGGCAACATAACTCGCTAAACAAGCTTGAAGCATGCTAAGCAAGGTTTAGCCGACCAAAATCGACTTGGATGAGATGGCTTGATTTAATGGTGAAGAAATTAGGCGCTCTAATTGATATATGATCATCGCTTAGAGACATAAGACGACAAAGGAAAGTTTTAGATGAGGTTGCATTTCTCAGAAGAGAAGAAAGTAAGTGCGTTAAACATAGATGAAAAGTGCGCTTAGCGAGCATACCAGATCAGACCCTATAAATATAGATTTCATTCTATTCAAAAAGAGCTCGTCAATGAATTTGAGGTAGTTCTCCGTGAAAGTTAGGTTAACACCGCAAATCACAATAGAAGAAAAAACGAAAGGAAGATTGTGGGCCAAAGCATTGCTCGAGGAATCGTCAGATATGTTGTTCAACTTCGTTCTTCTAGAGCTTAATTGTAAAGCTACAATTAGTAAGCATGACTAATTTTATCTTTTGGTGGGGTTAAATGTAGTTTTCCTAATACTTATGTTTTGATCCCAACCACAACGTTCTACTTAATTCTTCTTAAGCTTTAATATTGATGGATTCTTCATTCTTAATGCTTGTTTTGGATTAGCTACCTAAAACATGTTTTCATAACATGACTTGATATTTGAAAGATACTGGTCTTTACTAGATTCAAATATTTTATCTATTGAATATGCTGAAGTCTAGACATAGATTTAGGTTAGTATCTGTATTAACTGTTGAAATTTAATGCTAACATATTGGTTATTAGGATGAGAGATTATCTATTAAGTAATACAATTGATCTCACGTTGTTGACTCGAACATGAGATATGATGAGAACTTTGAGGGGGTAATATTAATAGTTGATTAGAATTGCGTATTACTGGTCATAGATGCTACTTGAGAGTATATCAATAAAATCTAACCCCATCAAGTTTTCTCACTATTAACACCTCAGGTTAACTTTATTTTTTATGTTCACAAACACTCAACCAAATGATAAACCATTCTAAAAATCATAGAAACTATTGAGCAGTCTTTCAAACACAACCAGTCCCATGTGGAGATGATAAAAATGTTAGACTTGAGACTTCACACATAATAGAGGGTGAACTATGTGGTTTGGAAAAATGTGGTTTTGAAAAACTTAGAGAAATAAAATCAGAGTTTAAAAACATTTTTGAAAACCTAGCCGTGGAAAATCGAAAGGCAGAAAATAAACTGTGGAAAGTAAAGAGTTAAAGGAAGAAAAAGAGCACTAATAGTTATACAGGTTTAGTCAAAAATGACTTATCATATTCCAAAGAATTGATCTTGAGACTTTCCAATAAACTTTGAGAGATTTTAGTAGGAAAGTCTCACAAACCCTCTTATACAAGGAAATGATGGTTGATCTTTAACAAAATAATACAAGACGGTAGATATGTGTGTTTGTGTCTTTTCTTCAGAATAAAATCAGGAGTGAAGTGGTGAATATTTCTTCCTAATGATCGAATGAAACGGTTAGTCTTCTTTCCATAAACACAGACCTTGGAGCGGTTAGTCTTTAAGTTCCTAAACCTTTGAGCTCAAACCTTGGTTTTACATGGAATAACCAATAACCTGTGAGATTATAACATCATGTAGATCTAGAACCTAGACTAGGATTGGAACACACAATCCCAAACCAAAGTTTTTTAAGGGTTTAACTTTTTACGCAAACAAATCCCTACATGGATAATATTCAACAAAGGTGTATACAAAAGATTTTCTTGATGAATTTAAATCTGTATCCTTTTTAGAATTACAAAAGTATCCTCATTCACAAAAGAACTTTTATCACAAAAAAACTTAGGCTAAAACATTAATGAAAGGAAGTTAAATAAAACTTTAGAGAGAAAGAGAGAGAGAGAGGTCAAAACACGGTTCTGGATAGTTTGAAATGAGAAATGGAACCTTTATTTATAGGTATGAGGTTGGCTAAAAATTGAAATTATAAGTTTGAGGAATTTAATTATCGTAGAATATATTTGTAGAGAAATAGAAAAAGAGGTTTGGAGGGTAATTATCAGTGGACGTGAAAAAGAGGATAATAGAGAACAAGAGCTTTTGCTGGAATTACAAGGTAAGGGGGAGATTATTCATCTAAGGGTGCCTTAATTATGAAAGGATAGAGAGATTTCCTTTAACCTCAAATTAGGTTTTATTATTTCCCTTTTGATTGATTATTTGATGTATTACATGAATGTGATATTGTTTTTGTGGTAATTTTGAAATTTGGGGATGAACATTCAAACTGTTCATCCCATGTTCTTCATATTTCCCAGTGTTTGATCCAAAACGTGTTTGAGATTTGGTTGGTTTTGTGTTAGTGGTAGAGAGAATAGATAAAGAATAAAAGGAAGAGAGGGGGAGAGAGAGAGAGAGAGAGAGAGAGAGAGAGAGAGAGAGAGAGAGAGAGAGAGAGAGAGAGAGAGAGAGAGAGAGAGAGAGAGATTTGGAAAATGAGAGACTCAATCTCCTCCCTCTTTTTTGCCCATTTACATCATCTACTCTTAGAGACATG